AAAAAAAAAAAATTGCAAACAAATTCCACCTCAGCAGTCGGTAAAAATTACCTACAGTAGCCGGTGGTAGGACGATTTCTCACGATTTTTGGCACTTACGGGACGTTTTCCAAAAGTGGGCATCGGAGAGGACTAAACCTCAATGTGGGTCCACTTACAGGACGAAAACTCCAATTTTTCCTTTATAGGCAAACACAATGTTTTAAATAGCGTACCATATCGATCGGTATTGACTGTAATATCGGATACGATTGACCGGCCGGTACAGTAACCCTCTAAATGCCATTTTGGCAAAAATATCGTGTTATACCGGTTTCATACCAACTAATACCGGCCAAAATAGATGATATACCGAATTTAAAAAATATACATATTCTTATATCTTTATCAATTTATTTACAAAATTCAGCACTTAGTTTTGACATGTTTACATTATTATTAGTTTTTAATCAGTTTTAGTGTTTATAAATAAACCAACTATAGTAATTGTAGATAATGCTAATTGTTTGTAACCAATGCCATAACATAATTGCCATATTATTCTTGACAGTGATTTGTGATAAGTAAGTTATTTTTTATTTTAGTTATCTATGTTTTGCTAAATTTATATGTGTCCTAACTTTAGCTTTAAATTCAATAATTATATGTAGACTACCTACTTCAATTTACCTCTTTGTAGATATTTTATATTATTTTTTTTAATTTCACTGCATGAGAAGAAATTAATAAATAAGTCTACTACAAAAGTAAATACAATTGTACGAACAATGAAAAGATATGATGAATGATATAAATTCTTAGTAAAATGAAATGAGGACAGAATGATTTGTGTGACCTTTAAATTTAAGACAAAATTGGTAATGAGAGAAAAATAATGGGAAACAATAATATATGATGGAAAAATTATTAATGACACTTACCACGCAACCTTTGTTTCCAATTTTTTTATCCGAACCTAACTACAAAACAAGATATTGTGACATGTAGGATTACAAAGCGTGCGAGCTTGCCACTTAGGTTTAGCACGTTTTGAATTAATATATAAGGGGGATTCTGTTGGTTGATTTTTGATTATGAATGAAGAATTAAGAAAAACTCTTTCGAGCATAACTCTCGTATGTTAGAACTAGGCCGTTGGTGTGAGTTTTATCATAAACCGTGTAGAAGGAAGGTCGATAGTGCCCCCCTTCGACACAACTATCGCCGAGAAGGAAGGCCGTTAGCGCGTCTGTCGAAGCAAACCAAGGTATCGAGATACACAATCTTCACCATAGTCTAAGACCTGCAGGCTGGCAAATTAGTCGGCAAAGGTGTACTTTTCCATCATTAGGCTGCAAGTGGTCTTTATATTATTGCCTTCTTCTTGGCCTGTCTGTCCAGCTCGAGTTTTGGTTCCTGTCTGGAACTTGGGCCTCGTAGCCTTTTTAGCGATGATTTTTCTCTATCGTATGGCCGGTCTGGGAATTCTGCTCGGCTCATTAGATGCTGACTATCTTGCTCCCTCTTGTAGGCCCATTTCTCAATTTAGAGTCAACAAGACAATAATAATATTAATATTTTTTTTTTCCAACGATAGATGATCTCATTATAAACGAAAATGTACGATTACAAACCGACCAAACCACGCAAGGTGGAGAAAATACATCTGAGAGAACTACTACAAAGAGTGGCCTAAAATAAGGACAACCCAACTACTCCAAGCTAGTAGAACCACCAGGAACTTGAAGTAGGCAAAACCACCAAGACAAACCTGAAACTCAAACTAAAAAAACAACCTGCACCCACTAGAACTACAATACACCAACAAACCCAAGTTCAAACCAACTGAGAAAATAAGAAAGCAACAGGACACTCACATGCGTTCAAAACAAACACAAAAGACCATCAAACTATCTATAAAAAAGAAAAAATTAATTTACCGGACAGCATAAAATTCCAGCCACTCCAATTTAGCCCTTTTAATGATGACCTGTTTGGGAAGAAATTCAGAATTGAAAAGCCAAAGGTTCCTAGACCTCCAAAGCCACCACAAGATGTAGGTCGAAAGTTGTATTCTAGCTTTGGAGGTCTCCCTTTTATCTATGCTACATACTTGCCACCACCATTGCTTGAAGCTACATCCTTCTTCTTGAACTCCATCCCACTGAATGGGCACCATTTTCCAAACTCGCTTAGCCTTACTACATTTCAGAAAAACATGCTCAATAGTTTCCTCCTCTTCCCCACAAGATTTGCACAGAATATCTATTTCAAGTCCTTTCTTTTTCAAGTTCATACTCACAGGTAGAGCGCCTGAGAAACATTTCCAAATAAAATGCTTTATTTTTCCTTTCACCCTAAGGCTCCAGCTCCTCTCTCTAACCTTAGTGTCTCTAGTGCTTGTATTGCTACCTTATGCTATATCAAGAGCACTAAGGGCTTGTTTGGAAACACTTATTCAGAAGTCCATTTCAAGATGGACTTTTTGAAAAGTGACTTCTCAAGAAGTTTTCAATATAAACTTCTTTGAAATGGACTTTTTGTGGGAGTTACTTTTTTAAAAGTCCATTTTGTTATCTACACCAAACATCTTTTTATATAGTAAATAGACTTTTATAGTCAAAAGTCCATTACAAAAGTGCATCCAAACATACACTAAGTTTCTCCTTCACCAGAAAATCATAGGAAGCTGCCATAGAAAACTCACCTTTCTTGCTCAAAATCCACCACCAAAAGTCTTCCTTCTCTGGATTAAGGGATGTGATAGCTAATATAGCATTGCTGTCATTCTCCGAAAAGGAGTCCCTGATTAATGGTTCATTCCACTGCCACCTTCTCACTTCAATTAAATCCTTCACCAAAACTAATGGATTATTGAGGTTATCGCAGAGATTAGGGGCTAACAACCCGAGTTTAGGAACCCAACCTTTATCCTGTATTCTTGTGGTGTCACCAGAACAAATTACCTTTCTAATACCTCTCTTAAAAATGGGAAGAACCTCCACCCAATACTTTCAAGTATTAATTTTTATGCGTATATTATTTACTTTTGTTATTTTCTTAAAAATGTGTTTATTGTTTAGAATTTAAAATTACTTTTGTATATTTATAATAAAAGTGGAAAAATTTTAGGATGAGTGTTATTATTATGAAAAAATATTTCAGTTTGAAATATTTATTTTTTTGGCATATATTTAAATGATAAGTATAATAGAATCCCTTTATAGAAAATATAATATATGGCAATATTAGTTTGTAAAATATTAATTTCTATTATTATACTAATGCAACTTAACTAAAAAAATATAACACATTGAAAATAATAAATATATCTTATGTCTAAATTAAAAATTTTAATTTAAGAAAAATTAATAAAAGAAACCGTTAAAATAATAATCAAATAAATAAATAAATTGGTACATTTTCGGAGACGCCGACCGCCGCGAAAAGGAGCGCTACTTCTTCACGAGGCTGAAGAAAACCGGAAAGAGATTCTCGCGCAACGTGGGGAAAGGGGGGACTTGGTCCAACAAAGGCCAGGCCACCCCAATTTTCGGCGACGACAAAGGCGTGATCTTAGGCTACAGGAGAACTTTCAGGTACCGGCCGGCCAAGACTAACTCCTGCGAAGACGACGACTATGTGTGGCTGATGACGGAGTACGTTCTTCCCGACACCGCCTTGAAGTCAAACGCCATTAAAGAAGATTCCAAGAATTATGCTCTGTGTGTTCTCAAGCGAAAATGGCAGGGGAAGGGCTCGACCAATTGTTCGTGTTCTTCGTGTGTTGTTGTGTCGATTCCTCCTGCCGATTGTGTGGTTTTTGGAGAGTCGGGTTCGAAGGAGACGGTGGATTGGGCCCACGAGCTGGATCTTCTATTGAGCAGTAGTAGTAGTTGTTTGCCGCCTTCGGTTGATGGTGCGGTTTTCGGAGAATCTGGCACTCACGAAGAGGATTGGGTTCGTGAGTTGGAGGGGAGTATTATGAATAATCACGATGAAGTTGAGAGTGTTGCTGCTAATTGTTTGCCGCCTTTGGTCAATGATGTGGTTTTCGAAGAATCGGGTACTCAAGAGGCGAACGACGAGGATTGGGTTGGTGAGTTGGAGAAGAGTATTATGGATAATCATGATGACGTGATTTTCGGAGAGTCGGGCACTCAAGAGACTGGTGACGAGGATTGGGTTCGTGAGCTGGAGGAGAGTATGGATCACGATGATGGTGAGTGCCTCGAGAAGCCTATTGATGACGAGGATTGGATTCGCGAGCTCGAGGAGAGTATGGATCACGAAGGAGAGCCTATTAATGACGAGAGTCGATTTACGAACGAGTCGAATCCTGTGGACGAAAGTTTCGAAAAGGAGCTGATGGATTTCTTCGACTTTGAGCTGCCAGCCGACGAGCCCTCTCTGTGGGACAATCTACCTGACGATGGCCGATTTTTCTGGAAGGAAGACTACTCCACCATTGATGTGCCCATTATTGCTGCTAACTAAGTGATTCGGGACTCAATTTTGATATGTATTTCTTCTTGTTTCTGATTGATGGGGTACTCTTTTCCCAGTCGGAGGTTTTTCCCACACGGGTTTTACTTCGATTGGGTTTTAACGAGGCCCCACTTTGCGCCATCTGGCCGGCGAGTTGTGGCCAGACCCTACTTGTAAAAAATTGCAAGAGGGAATGAAAAATTTATGTATTGCATCTGTTCAGTAAAGTGATCTGATTTTTTTTTTTAATGATCTCCTTTGTCACTTACAAGAACTTTATAGAGTAGTTAGTTTGTTATATCTTTTGATGTCTCATTTTCTGTTCTTGATATGTTGCTGTAATGTGGTAATGATATAAGATTTTGATCATTGTTTACTGCTAAGAACTTATTGAGCCAACTTGATCATTGCTGCTGTAATGTGGTAATTTGTTATATCATTTGAAGAGAATACTGAAAATGCTCTTGTTTAGCATATGTGAAATTACTAATATACCCATCACAAGATCCCCCAAAATGACTCAATTATCCATCTCACACCTTACACAGCAACCAAACACTCATCTTAAAACTACAGACTCTAGTAGATAATGTCTGCTCTATCTGCAACAGGTGTGGGATTTTCATGGCCCTCAACAAAACCAACACAACCCACAAATGAAAGCAAAAAACACATATGGATATCATCAAAAACATCCTCTCAAATTCCCAATAAGAAACCTGCAACATCCCTGAAAACCCTCAAATCCCGTAAAAAACAAAATTTCAGAACAAGAACCCTTTTTTTCTCCCAAGTTCCAATTTTTCTTCACACCCTTCATCTCTCATCCTCAGCTGCAACTTTATCTAGTGACCCTTTTGATAAGATCATCAAGATTTCAAAAAATCCATGGCTTACGTACAGGCTTGCGCTTGCTGATTTGGATCCTGCAACAGCCAAGCTGGCAATTGGGTTTTTGGGGCCCTTTTTGTCAGCATTTGGGTTTTTGTTCATTGTGAGGATAGTGATGTCTTGGTACCCAAAACTGCCGGTTGAGAAGTTCCCATATGTAATAGCTTATGCGCCCACAGAGCCTCTGCTTGTTCAGACAAGGAAGCTTATACCGCCATTGGGTGGAGTTGATGTTACACCTGTTGTCTGGTTTGGTCTGCTGAGCTTTCTCAATGAGATTTTGGTGGGCCCACAGGGGCTTCTTGTTCTTTTGTCTCAGCAGGTTTAGAATTTTGCATCTTTCTTGAAAACAGTTTGTAGAGTTCAATCTGTGTGTGTGTGTTTTGACTGGTGAATGTATGTTGTTGTAGTGAAGATAGAAACAGAGGAAAAATGGGACTATATGTTGTTGGTTCGATTTGCATTGAGTTTTTGAAAGTTGTGTTTGAGTTTGGCTTGATTGTTTAACTGCATTTGAATTTCAAACTAGCCTGGTTGAGAAAAGGGCAGAGCAAAACCGAGCCTAAACCGAAAAACCGAGCTGCAACGTGCACTCGATGTGGCTCGATTCAGTTTTTATTTATTTCATGTAGTGTAGAATTTTTTTTTCGGTTGGTTTGTCCTTCACTGCAGTTCGGTTGTTATTTTTCACAAGCTCAATTTTTTGTTTTGTTCAATTAGGGGCGATTTTGCAATGAACCGAACCAAATTAAATATAAATGTTAAATGTATAGAAAAAAAAAGGGCTGAAACATAACTTTCATTTCAATGCGGTTAGGTTCGAATGTTTCATTGTAAAAAAAATTCAGTTCGATTTTCTTTTAGGTTCGGTTTGACCTTGCTGCACCACCGTTGCTCACCCTTACCCTGAGGCTCTTTTATTTTTTTTTTTATTTTTTTTTTCTCAATTGTGTTTTTCTGCTTAGCTGATCAATAAAAGAGTATTGAAATCCAAAGGAGATGATCTATAATGTTACAGATTAAATTTCTACGAAATAACACCAAAGCATGAAGCATAAGAAAACTGACTGAATCTATAAAACTAAACAGACCAACACTTGATAAATACATCAAATTTGCTGACACCAATAAAAAATGGAAGTCCTCAGATTTTGACAACCTCGAACGATTTCGAGTCTTATCGGCTTCCTTTTTTTTCATCATTTACGATTCAACGGTTTCTTTTCTGGAAATGGATCGAATTTAGGCCGGAAAATGCTCGACATTCCTTGCATATCTGATTCCACGAAGAAGATCCTTTGCAGTTTCCTTCTCCTACATAAAGTATCAGTATGATGTCAGAACTCAGAACCATCTTATATTCAAAGTTAACTGAAATAAATATTAATGTATCGATTGTGGTGCACAGTGACATTATAATTAGGACTTTGCAAAAATAAAATGCTCGCTTACAGTTAAGGAAAAAAATATATGATACTTTGCCAAAATAGCAAATTGTAAGTCATAGCAAAAACCATAATGGAATACATTATGCATGTTAGAGCTCAAGCTCAAAGCTAATTAAAAAAATCACAAAGTTTACCATGCAGATGCCTCATTTTAAGCAAATCACAAATTCTTATAGCTGCTATCATGGAAGAACCATCCAAGGGCTTCTTGAAAGCACAAATTCACTCGGCACAAATTGTCCAATGAAAGAGCCCAATTAGCTGTTTGGGCCATGACTCGAACCAAAGCATGGTATTAATTTTGGCCCATATCCCACCAAGGTCAATCAAGTAATTTTATCATTCGAGGCGCGCGCCCCCCAAAATCACTGTTGATGAATATATTCAAGTTCCCGCTTGTTTGCATGGCGGATTTTCGAACTTTCAAAAATAAAAAAAATAAAAAAATTCCCTCCAATTGGATTTGTTTCCTCACAAAACCCTCGTCCCCGCCATTGTCAACAAACCCATTTCTTAACGGCCTCTCCAGAATCTGCAGAAGCACGCAGAGACACGCTTTGGTGTGTGGAATCAATTTTTCAGGGTCGGATTAGCTTCTGGCACCGACGGTGGAGATTTAGTTCCAGGTTGAAAAAATGGCACTGCCCTTGACATATTCTGGAGCTACAGATTCTGGATCTAGAGATACAACGTACTGTCGTAAGCAGAAATCGCTCGGCCTCTTATGCTCCAAGTATGTCTTTCTTGAATGATTGATTATCTGTGTGTGAATTATGTTCATCTGGTGTGTGTAATTATAGATGTTTTTATGTGGGCCTGAGGTTTGTTAAGAAAAAATAAATAAATAAATTTAGTATTTTGGCTTCAGTTTCTTGAGCTTGTACAATCGAGATGGAGTTGAGACAATTGGGATCGATGATGCAGCCTCAAAATTAGGTGCAATCGCTTTCCTTCTTCATTTCTTTTTGATTGTGTTGAGAAAGTCACCTTTATGCTTTCCCTTCTATTCAATTCTTTGAATTGTTTTTAATTTTTTGATTATATGAAATTTTGTAAAAATTGTTTCCAGGCGTGGAAAGGAGGCGGATCTATGATATCGTGAATGTTTTGGAAAGTGTTGGTGTAAGAACTTCTGATTATTAGACACCTTTTTGAATCTTGTGATTGATAGAGAATCGAAATGCATTGGGATCCATTTTTAGCTGACTGTTTTGGGTTTTTCGTTTATTGATTTCAGATTCTCTCCAGGAAGGCGAAAAATCGATACACTTGGAAAGGGTTTGGGGCGGTACCTAAGACCTTAGAAGCCCTAAAGGTAAAAACCTTTTGTTGTAATGGTTTTCTGAAATTAATTTGAAGCTCGAGGGCCTAGTGACATATGGGTTATTCTACGTATTGTTATCTGTTTCTTATATTTTCTCCACATTTTGATTTATGTGCATGGTGCAGAAAGAGGGGTTTATGGATCATGGCCCTGCAACTGATACAAGTTTCTCTGAGAAAGTATGTTTATCATTGATTTTTGTCCTTTTCATTTTCCTTTTTCTTGTTTCTTATTTCCAATGTATGCATTTTGATCAATTATTTCATTTGGGTTAGGGAGTTTTCTTAATATGATTTCTAACATAATAATAAATTGATTTAAATTATCTGCCCTCTTGTAATCAGGTTTCAGATGACGATGAAGATGAGATGTCGGATATGAACAATTTAAGTCAAAAGTCAGATTCTAGTTCTGTTCCTAGATATGCCCTTCCACCTAAAACTGGTACTAATCTTAGCCGTTTTTGTCTAAGCTAATGGGCTTGCTGATTGGTTCATCTTTGCTCATTAATATTGTTTAGTTTTTTCCCTTTTGGACAAAAAATTGATTTTCCTTATATCTAGGTGACAATAGGAAGGAAAAATCTCTTGGGCTTCTTACACAAAACTTTGTCAAGCTTTTCCTGTGTACTGATGTAAGTGTGTATTTAGATTACCAGTCTTTTGAGGTGACTTTACAGGAAGATAATTTTTTAGCTTCACAATATGAAAATTAATTTTGTTCCTTGGGAATATACTGGGTATGTTGTTGTTGTTGTTGTTGTTGTTGTTCAGCTGGAAATGATCTCTCTAGATGACGCTGCAAAGCTCTTGCTTGGTGATGGGAAACATACATCAATGACTACTAGAAGTAATGCACCTTCCGAATTTGGCTTCTTGTTTCTAGCTTATGTGCTCTAACAAAGATAAAAGTTTATACTTTTTGTTAACTCGGTTCTTGATGCACCTTTGCAGCAAAAGTGAGAAGGCTGTATGATATTGCCAATGTGTTATCCTCCATGAAATTTATTGAGAAGGTACTATTGATCTGATTTAGAGGCATTTGGATGGGAGGATTTGAAATTAAGGGTATTAAAATCCATAATGAGAAACTTATTTTGTTGTTTGTATGCCAAGTATTTCAAATACTTAGAAACTCATTCAAGCCAACTTCTGAGTTATTTGAATTTGAGTTATTACTCCCAAGTTCTTTTCCTCAAATCCTATTTTTTTCCCATCCAAATTTTAAGCTTTGATGAATATTGATAATTTTAGTATTATTTTCATGTACGATATGCAGACTCATCATCCAGAGACAAGAAAACCGTCATTTAGATGGTTGGGCCTGAATGGGAAGCCAGACAATGGAGTTACTAATTCTGTGGTTTTTACTGAGTCTAACAAAAGAGTCTTTGGGACAGATCTCACTAATGTTACTGCAAAGAGGTTCAAGTTGGATGGAGGTTCTCAACATGTCCTGAAGCCACACAATCCAATGCGAATTAAGCATGAGACTGAGAGTGAGGATGAAAGAACACGAATGGCTGGAAGGAATTACCATTATGGTCCTTTTGCACCTGCAAATGCGCCTAAGGTTGCAGGTTCTCATGATGACAAGGAAAAACAGGTTGTTGATTGGGAAAACCTGTCCTTTTCTTACCGCCCGCAATATCATAACCAAGGTAATTTTGAAATTTATTTTATACACGTTATCAGAACATTTGCTACAATATCACACTAGTTTTTTTAATATTGAGGCAAATTCTAGTCAATAGATAGTTGTTCTCTTCGCCATCATCCAGATGCAATCTACAAAATCCTTTTTCATACTATATCTGATATTTATGCAGATTTTATCAAACTAGGCATCAAGAAGCAATCTTAAGCTGATCTATTAAGGTTTTAACCAGTTCACGTCATTTTGTTATAAACAGCATCAATACTGTTGATCTTTTAAGTTCCGTTATGTATCTTACTGTGCTTTTTATTTCTGACTGTAAGTTGGGTGTTAGCTGAAATGACATTGGTCTGTGTTATGGTGCTATAAAATCTCAACAATTCTTACATGCTGACTTCATATTTTCATGACACAGGCCACTCGTCGTCTGTCTAATATATAGTGCCAAATCACACTAATCAGAAACTCGTTTTTATTGAATTCTCCCTTTTTCAGCTTTAAAGGATCTTTTCTCACATTACGTCGAAGCTTGGAAATCGTGGTACTCTGAAGTTGCTGAGAAGATCCCGTTACAACTAACATCCTAGACTTGTTTTCGCTTACTGTTCGTATTCGAGTGTTGAAAGTTAACAAAGGAAGCATCCAAGTAGACTTGCTGACCGGAGGCAGAGAACTTGATGATGATTGCATTTCACTTGATACATCAATTTTTGAATCCTATTCATATTTCCTTTTAGCTTTCCTTGTAGAAACTTGAGTTCATACATGATTTGACTGGGATCCACATTGGTATTCCCTCATTTGTCTTAGATTGCCCAAAATAATGTAAATCAATAACAGGTCGATTAAATGTCTCACATGGTACAGTTTCTTTGGTTTTCATTTCTAGACTCTGTTGTCTTTGATACATGGTCTGTTCATTAAAAAGTAAAAGAAACTCTTTGCACATACGAAATCCTATAAATTTCATGTTTTCACAAATTTGTAATCATATATATATATATATATTCAGTTATCACCCCCCAAATCTTGACCTGAAATGCAGATACCTGCCACATACCATATCCACAATGTGTAGTTTGGTGTAAATGTTTAGTAGACTAATGAATATTCTTAATATTTGATTTTTTCTGCCCAATCAACCAACATCTTCAACCATTCAAGCTAGTGTTGCACTACTTGAAATGTGTTTTCATGGTTTATAAGCATATTTCATGAGTATTGCACTTCTATAAACCCAAAGTTACATTAGTTAAGATACAGAAAAAAAACTTTTCCATGGTAAAGGCACTAGAAATCATTATTTCACAAGTATAAAAGCTGTTCAATCAAACATTGCAGCCAACATAAATTTGTTGCACCGATGGTCTTAGGTCTGCACGGGATATTTCATTGTTGAACTCAGAAAAAAAAAGAAAGAAAAGAAAACAGAAAAAGCAAATACAAAACATAAATTTATACTATTTCACAACGAGGATGTTGTGAACACTAGTCATGGAGACAATCTGTCGATTTTCCAGGTTCTCTTTCCCTCAATATCCTCTGGTGTATAACGTAACCTGTCAACAAAAGATTCGATTCAGCAAAAATGCAATAGATTTATCAATCAAATAAGTACATGTAATCTTCAAATGAATAGTAACATCATTATTAGGGGTATAGGCATGCCGCATGTGTATAATTCTAAGAAGTTAGGCTAGCCTTGGTCTCTGACCTGTTTTTACGTTTTGGCTTCATTAAAAATCAAAAGCACGCATAATTCTTTGCATATACTTGTTCAAATGGTAAAAGATTTTCATTTTCATTTCCTGCAAAGAAGTTCCGATTTATGCTACTTGCTTACCTATCATGCAAGCGAGATGGTTGTCCTTGCCAAAACTCGAACAGCTCGGGTTTGAGTCTGTACCCTCCCCAATATATGGGCTTTGGAATCACGCTTCTGCATGCAATTGATTTAAATGACATTGAATACCAATTAATTTAACTGAAAACGGGTATGTTATATTGCAAAGGAAAGTATAACACTCTGACGCAGTGATGTAGATGAGAGAAAGAAGTAAACTATAATTTCACAGTGCCAAATCAAGAAAATCCAGGCGAACGAACCAGGAGTAGAGTACAAGCACAATCACAAAGTGCTAAAATATATTCGGAAAATTAGGTAGTGATGGAGCAATCGAAACTAACCCATCTGAGTAGTTAGCCTCAAGCATTTCCTGTTGCTCGTGGAGAAACTGCCTTCCTGGGATCACAGTACTCTGGAGGAAAACAAGAGAGAGGGAACAAATTTCAAAGACGGGCCCAGAAAAATAAATAAATAAATAAGAAATAAAAAGAACCTGTTTGCTAACTATTGCTCCAATCTGGCTACCTCTGGGACGACTGTGGAAGTATTGCTCGGATTCTTCATCCGAAACCTTTTGCACCGGCCCTTCAATTCTTACCTAAAACCACATATATGAAATGAAAGCTGCCCTTCTGAATTGAGAAACTAATATGAAGTACTTATGGAGATTTGCAAAGTTTCATGGCAATTGGATGAAATTTGATTAAAAATAAGCTATAATAAACCTGACGATTCAACGCGTCCCAGTAAAACAGGAGAGCAGCTTGAGGATTTTCTGACAGTTGATGAGCCTTTCGACTCCCATAGTTCGTGTACCTAAGCAGAAAATTAAAAGAGGTTCAAAGATATTATGCAAGTGCCACATGAGTGTGAAAGAGCCGATTGATTACCAGACAAAACCATCTTGGTCGAATCCTTTCAGCAATACCATTCTAGATGAGCTGCAGCCAAGGGATACCAAAATTAGGTCAAGGCTAGTTTTAAAATCAAAATACTCAATAAAGTTGAGTTCCCAAGAATAATTATTCCAACTTGCGGCTTTATATTTGTTAATAGATTGAATATTTAGGGGCACATTGGACAAAGAAGTCAGGTTGATGATAACAGACTTACGGTTTTCCATCTTTTCCGGTTGTGGAAAGGGACATTGCATTTGGTTCCTTCATGCCTGATGCTATGGCATCATCAAACCAGTTCTGGAACTGCAGCATTAGAGAAAGATTTAAGTTTTATGTAAAAAATACATTTTAAGGGAAACTAGGAAGAATCACCTAAATTACATGGTCCGTGGTATATATAAATATCAGATTCCACGATAAATCTAGCTGGTTATGCAAAACAAAAGAAACTTTAGATCAATTGCCAAAAAAATGTTTTTAAGTGAAGTAATAATACCTGAACAAAGGGATTAGCATCAACTTGGTCCTCAGAGAACTCGGGAGAAATATAGTTCTCTCTAAGAGCTGATATATCAACTCGAGGCGGCTTCCCAATGCGGACACACATAGAAGTTCCAGGATATTCCGGAAGCTCCAGCTTGAATTTTTCTGCTATAGAAGGAGGAACAAATCTACCTCCAAGAAAGTGGTGTGGGCCAGAAAATCTTTTAGCACATAACTTAGGAGCAGTTAAGGAGACCTATACACAAGTTGCAATGTTTTTAACATTTATCGCTACACTTTCAAGATGTCCGCTAAAAGGAACTTGAAATTTTTTAACTATATATTAGATACATACAAGCATGTGAGGTTTGATGCCGTTGCCACTGAGATCACCTTCTTCAACATGCCATCCAGATGGAATATCAACCGAGACTATGACAAGTGATTTTTTCTCATTCTTTTCGTAGGGATTACCTAAATCTACCAGCCTTTGTATCAGATCATCAAAAGGGGGCCTTGGGCTGCCTACAGAATGAATTATTATTTTATTAGATATAATGCTGTATGAAGTTGAAGCTAGCACAATATATAGTACATATATTATCAAGTAGTTGTTTTTTTTTTTTTTTTAACTCACTGTTCTACAGATGAGTTAAATTTATTTTTTATCGACAAAAAAATGGAATCTAAGGTTAGTAAGCATACCGTGAAATGAGAAACCAAATATTGCATCCAATATGATGTCAAAGCTAGTTGATAGATCCGCTGGAAGATCTTCCACTGATATGAAAGGAATGGACAGCGACTCTAACTACAAAACCCCATGTTTGAGCAGTACTTCAAGATAGTGTTATTTGTTCTAGTAAAGCTTGAGTATATTTCTCATAAGTCATACCTGTGTCACAAGCCCACTGTAAAGAGCCTTAGCTGTACGTTTTGGATAACAAATAACTGGTTTATATCCGAAGTGATGCAAATGACGAGCAGCAACAAGGCCATCACCACCATTATTCCCAGGACCGCATATAGCAAGAACACGATTATGTTCAGTTGGCTTATACACCTACATGTTAAGAGGCATTTTTAACTCATTTTTGGGTTGTGTACAAGCACCATGTTCACCTATAAAAGATTTTGAGCCTTCAAAGATCAACAAAGTACATCTTCAATTATACATGACATGAGTGTATTACTGAAGCAGTTTTGTCAATCAGTTAAGTAAAGAAGCTGAAAATTGTTCGATAAAAGATGTCTGAGTAGCAACTCAAAACTATCATTTCCGCGCAAAATGCTTCTCCACTAAACTACCATCTGAAAATGATTACAAGCAGCACTCCTTACTACAAACAACAACAACAAGAAAGAAAGAGTGGACAAAAAATTAAATGAATAAATAAAGCAAAATTCTAGATATTCTCAGCCTATGATTATTCCCCCGTCTGTCAAATTTCGTATCGTAAGTTCCCAACCGCTTCATTCAGTTCCAAATGGTAGCTGCATAAAGAAACTCAATTCTCCATAGTCCTTAATTCACCAAGAATCAGCCCAAAAGTGGGCTTGAAAAGAACAAAAATAATATAAGTAAACACAAAGAATTACAGTGACAAAGTTGCACCTCAGCAATTGAAGCGGCCACGCTCAAACCAGCCAATTCCTGCATTCAATAAATTTACAGTAAGAGCTCAACAATTCACAACTCCAACCTAAAAACAGAGACAAACAAAAGGTAAAACAATTAAAGAAAAAAAAAAACTGACCATGAGCTGATCCACGCTGAACCCAAGTGGACCCATGAGAATTTCATCAATTTCCGCAGCTTCTCGCTGATTCAAGTAGGATACAGACTCTGGGTCCCTTACAATTTTCGCCGACGCCATTGCTTTCGCGCCACCGCCGGAAATCGAACAATATTCACGTGGGCTGGGCTTAGAATTCAAGCTCCAAAAACCCTTTAACCCACAGTAAAAATATAAACAAATAAAAAAAATCACGAATCAACTAAGTGCTCGCTTGGTGTCATGTGGAGCTGATGTAGAAGAGAGGGGGAGGGAGCCACCATTTACCTGCGTTTGCTGATGATGAGAAAAATGGGTATTCAAAATCTGATGGTGATGTCTAAAATCTGGAAAACTCGATGGGATTATGGAGAAAAGTGATGATGTTTGGGTGAGAAGACATCTCATGGTCCTGCTTCTGCGCAGCAATGGCGGTAGCATTTTCTATTTATTACTTTCACAATAAATTATCAGAAAATTTTATAGGATTTTTATAGATTATTTCATTTTGACCCTTAGATTATTTGAGTCGAACATCATTATGTGAGTTCTTTAATTTTCGTTTAATTTCACGGTTAACGAACTGAGTTCGACCTTTTGATACTGAAGTAAATTATACTAACACGATAAACTTCTCTATTTATTTCACGTCAAGATGTAAAAGATCCGAGCTCAATTTCATAATACTCGTATCCTGCTCAATCCTTTATCGAGCTAAGTGTTAACTATTAAATCCCATAAACAAGCTCGAACTTAACGATTCAAAGTACGAGCCGTGTTCATTTAATAGTAAAGAAATGATGTAAAAAGTAACAACCCTTTTACTTTGAGTCTAACGAGTATCGACTCAACTTGTTAACTATACAAGCTCAAACTCACTTTATTTATCAAATGAATTGAGTCAAATTCGAGCCTTAACGAGTCGAACCAAACCAAAAACAACTTCATTCGGTTAACATCTCTATTCACTTACACCGTCCAAAATAAGATATTTGATTTATTAGAAAATTCATCAATTATATCCATATCACTTGGAAGGTTTGGAATAACAAAATGAAGTATTTATCAGAATTTGTCCTTACTGGCTTTGAAAACATGTGGGTTTTGGTAAATATGATTAAGATGAAAACAATAGACTATTTTTAACTCTATTGGAATACAAAGGCAATGTCAATTTACAAATTGGTGAATTGCTAAACAATAGGTAAAAGTAAAACTCATATGAATAAAGAATTATATTATATACCACCAGAAACAACTAGTACAGTACAGTACTCGTGCGATGCACGAGGCTTTACTATTTTCATTCTTTTTAAAAGGCAATTTTGTATTTAAATTCAAATTATATAATAAAGCACCGATAATTGATTATAATTAAACCTAACAAATACTTATTATAGGATAAGCGTAATTATTTATATTTATCATGTTGGACTTGTAAAATAAGAATGTTTTTGAAAAATGTGGGCTTAAAAAAGTTCATATCGGCCCAATTTACAATGTTGGCTTCGAAAGTTCATATCGACTCAAACAAAACAGAAAAAATAATCCAATGATCCAGATTAGTTAACGCAAATCGGCGGTTTAGATTACACTGAACATAGTATAAATAGTGAAATTATTGGACCAAGGGCTTCATTTCTTTCGCCGCTTCCAGTTTCTTCTTTCGTCTTTTTTCATTGATCTTCTTCCAATTTTTCCGTTCTAACACTGAGAGTCTTATAAATACATATTCTTTTTTAGTTTTCATCTAATTGATGCTTTAATTTAGTTTTAGGTGTTTTGCACGAAACAAAATATGGATTGTTCAATTTGAGGGTTTTTTTTTCGGTTTTTGTAGTTTTATGTTCGAATTTTTTGGTTTTTACAATTAATCAAATGAATCCTTCGAATTTGAGTGTGTTTCAGTAGATTTTGTTAATTTTAGTTGTTTTGCCCGAAAAAGAAATGTGGAATTTTTAAGTTTAAGGTTTTTATGTTCGATTTTTGTAGTTTTATGTTTGAATTTTTTGGTTTTTACGATTAGTCAAAAGAACTCTTAGAATTTGAGTGTGTGTCGATAAATTTGTTATTTTTTATCGGCAAAATTATTTTGTTACACAAAATTTTTTGGCGTCCAAATGATTTTTTTTTTCTTTTAAAACTCAACTCGGCTGAAAACATACTGACAATTAATTATGTGATATCATTGATTTTGATGAATTGCACACAATAATTATGGGTTATGAACTTGCAAGTTTTTTCTGTCCAAATTAATGAATGTTGATATCAATTAATTTTAAAAAATATTGGTATTGAAATAAAACTCAAATTTTTAAAAGCATTATTTATACCAAAATTGAGCAATTTGGTTACCAAAACTAAGTATCCGTGATTGAAGGCATATTTAAATGTTTCTCATTTAATAAATAAAAATAAAACAAAACTTGTCGAAAATGGTATGCAATTAATGTTGCCAGATTTTTTTGCTTACTATTTTTGGTAAATAATAATTCTTATTACATATATATAGATTTCAGTGTGTGTGTGTGTGTGTGTTTTACAGTATGATTTCCTCTTGAACACTAACATTTAGTGTCTTGTTTGGAAGCACAATGCTATTGATTACCACAACTTCATCTTCTACTATCACTGATTCACCTGTTTCATTTTTTTAAAAAAAAACAAACAAACAAACAAACAAACATACGAGTTCTGTAAGCTAAAGTGAAAAGCCAACGGAAATAGGGTGTCAAAGATAACTGGATTTACCAAGAATCGTAACTCCGAGTTTCGCGTTGTAATCTCCTGAAGCCTGAAATTTTGGATATTTTAAAATATGATATTTGAATGTAAAAAGTAAGTATATTTGTCGAAAGAGTGCAACTGGCTAAACATTCAGGCAGCCTAACAAAAGAATCGCGTGATTTTCTGGACGGAAATCTTTCATAAAATTTGGTATGAGAACGCATTTGATTTTCTGAAGTTACATTTTTAAGCAGAAATAAAGGGCACACAAAACTGCAAATATGATAATCCGAATACCCACGAGCTAGAATACGAGACACTCAGCACCAATTTTCGGACACGAATTAACGCAAAATTTAAACTCAGCAAATTAATTTCACTTGTTATTTTACCTGGACTCTGGACCATCTGCCGATGGAGGATTTCCAGCCGACAATTGCGTGAATAACAACAGCATTTTCCTAAAAATTCGACAAAAAACGAGTTAAATGATCCCAGGACAAGATTAGCGTTTAAAATAAGTTTGTATCAAGAAAATAGGCAATTTAACCACCTTAATCTCGACGCCATCGAGTATAATGCAGCTAACGAGCCTTGCACCAGCTCCTATTCGTGCATTGGCCGAGATTGAAACATTTGGACCAATCTGTTTCACAGCACATATANAAAAAATGAAAAAAAAAAAAAATTCTACGAAAGATTATTACGTTACTCTCGGGATTCAGATTACCTTTGAAGTTGGATGAACTTTTGACGAAGGATGAATGTATACATCTCCCGAAATAGTAGCATTTTTGGAGTCATTTTCACTTGCTAAAAGTTGCGGTGAGATGGATCGATATTGGGTTAGATAGAGTCCAGAGCATTTCAAGGACATTCTGCACGAAAAAAAAAAAATTAAAAAAAAAAAAAAAAANAAATCATCTCAGATAGGACAGACAATCTAAGCAGTTATTAGCACTATTAGCCGAAGCAGAAGCATATATTATCGTCATTAACTTACCCTGGAGTTTTTATTTGTTCCCAAAAATCCCTTGTCTCGAATACGTAAAACTGCTTTTTCCCAGCAAGGAGTGATAGAATATCTTGATCCAATCTTACAAAATCAGTCGGTAGACTCCTGCCAATGAACAGAAAAGGTGAAAATGTATTTAAATTGAGAAAAAAGATCATCATTATGTACCAAACTCAATCTTGAAAAGGGAATTCTACCAAAGCCTATCCTGTTTAAAAATAATATATATTTAACCAAGGTTGATGCTGTAATTTGCTGAGTGGTAAAACCCCATGAAATGAACTTTCTTTAATAAAAGAAAAATTTGGGCTGTTGTGAACTTGGGGGCTTTACCTATTTGCAGGCTGAAGGGCTTCGAAGCTGGTTAAACGTCTTAGTATAGCTGCAAAAAAAAAGGAAGAATAAAGTTGAATAAACAACACGACAAAGAACATATCGATAGCATAATTAATCAGCTAACAATTCTTATGCTCAGACTAATAAAGGAAAGATAAGTTGAACATAGAATGCACTAGACGAATCTAATTTTGTCATGTCCGGCTTGAAAGAAGCCATTATCTGATGCCTTGCAGCTTAATCCATAACGACAACCATTAA